TTGTACTGTGGTCAGAGGTAAGGCAGACATGAGGAGGGGAGTTCCCCTTTTGGAGAGCTGTTCATGAAACATGTGTCACTAACGGACTATTTCACCTTACCTCTTGTTCTGGGGACAACTCTAAAATGTTTATATCCCCTCTCTTTCTTACTTTGGTGTGACCACCCTTTACCTTCAAAACAGCATCAATTCTTTTAGGTACAACAGTGGCAACAGTGAAGCATGGTGGAGGTTCCATGCAGGTCTGGGGCTGCATTTCTACCAATGGAGTTGGTGATTTGGTCAGGGTCAATGGTGTCTTCAATGAGAAATACAAGCGGATAGTTATCCATCATGCCATACCAACAGGGTGGCATCTGATTGGTCCCAAATTGAATCTGCAGCAGGACAACGACCCCAAACATACAGCCAATGTCATTAAGAACTATCTGCAGAGTAAGGCTTCATTCACACTGCCAAGAGCCGGCCCGTACAGATCCATGCGACGTGCACGGCCATATCGGGCCACTCCCGGGAAGGACAGGTGCTGCATGTGATTGTACGCAGTAGCCTGTTCTTCTCCATGAGAGTATGCGGCCGTACACCGCATATGCTCATCCGAACTGCACATCCGTGCGCATGCCTGTACTCAGACGCAGACAGGATCCATCCTGTCTGCATACGAGTATGGACACCTGCACGGATGTGCATCTCAGGTAAGCATACCGCCGCGGCACAAGGAGTCCTGGAAGTGATGGTTTTGCCCCCAAAGAGCCCTGATCTCATCATTGAGTGTGTCTGGGATTACATGAAGAGACAGAAGGATTTGAGGCAGCCTACAACTAGAGAATTCTGTGATTAACGGAGGTGCACTGAAATGAAAAATTTCAAAACTGAAAAGAAACCAAAAAAAAAAATCAGGCCAAAACAGAAAATGTTTTTTTATTTTAACTTTTCCAAAAAAAATGTAATATTTTATTTTTAAGAATCTTTTTAATTTTGTTATATTTATTCATTTTTTATTGAATATTTTTATTTTTTACTTTACTTTTAGAGGCTTCAGGGAAATATTAGGGGTCGAAACAGACCCCTGATATTACCCTTTTAAAATAGAAAAAGAGATTGAGGACACAGAGTCCTCAATCTCTTTTTCTGCAGGCCCTGTTATAAATGACCAGGAATCCTCTATGAGTGTTTCTGTTCATCCATAACATGAGAACATTTTATGTTCTCATGTTATGTCCTCCTGGAGTTCCTTTTATAAAAGTAGAACTATGAGGCGAGTGCTTTTCACTCACCTCATAGTTCTAGCCGACCTGTGACAATGAGACTGTCACAGGTCGGCTCAGTAGATCGGGAGGTGAGCGAACACATACCGGCGTTCACTCACCTCTCGATCCTGTCACGGCTCTCTGCCGTGACAGGGGAGGGGCTGGATTCCCCCCTCCCCGCTCCGCTAGCGCTGACTGGCGGAACGGACGGGTTACAGCTGGCTCTGCCTCTAGATAGGCATAGCCAGCTGTCACTCACGCAGCTGGGTGGATCTCGACATCGATGTCGGGATCCGCTCCGGCGTCTAAGTATACCGTGAGCTGTAGCTCGCGGTATACTGAGCTTAGGGTAACGGGAGGACGCTAGTTTGTGTCCTCCCGTTACCCTAAGGAGAACTATGGGGAAAAGCCCTGACCCCATAGTTCTCCTTTAAGGCAGAGTCACTGTACTGGCTAGAGAGGGGGGAATTTGTCAAAACTGGAGCAGATTTGCACTGCAGCCAATCAGCTTCTCTCATTTTCAAATCTTACCTGGGCAAACTGAAGAGAGATGCTGATTGGTTGCCATGGGCAACTGCTCCAGATTCAGTTTGCTCCAGTTTTGATAAATGTCCCCAAGTTTACTATATCCACAATCATGAATGGACAGGAGGTGATGTAGATCACTTCCCATTCATTCATAATTGAGGATATAGTAACCATACCATGTCCTCAATTATTACAAACACTCAGCGATCACTGAGTGTTTGTACTCGCTCTCCTCTCTGACAGCTGTCACAGGAGGCTGAGCGAGCGGAGCCCACACTGCTCTCCTATGATCTATGACAGGAGGCTGAGCGGTGCGGGAAGGAGAGACGCCGGCCGCTCACAGCGCTCTCTACCCGCAGCGCTCGGCCGCCTGCGACAGTTTCTCTTCTCCCCGCTGGGACACAGAGCAGCGGGGAGGAGAGGAGCACGGATGCACCAGTATCGGCCAGAAAATGCCACTTTCGGCATTATGCCAAAAGTGCCATTTTCGGACGATATGTTTTGGCGGCCGATCGGTGGATCCCTAGTGATTTGTTCTTCAAGATGTTCGGAACAAGCTACCTGTCGAGCTCCTTCAAAACTGTGTGCAAGTGTACCTAGAAGAATTTATGCTGTTTTAAAGCCAAAGGGAGATAAAAAATAAACACTTAAAAAGGAGAACTATGGGGTTAGGCCTTTTCCCCATAGTTCTCCTTAGGGTAACGGGAGGTCACAAACTAGCGTCCTCCCGTCACCCTAGGCTCAGTATACCGCGAGCTGTAGCTCACGGTATACTAAGACGCCGCAGCTGAAGCGGATCCCATTTAACCCTCAAAGCATTCTTACTTTACAGAATTTTCTCACACCTGCCTAAAACGGTTGCACAGTACTGTACTTCAGAGAAAACCAAAAGCACATTGACAGAAGCCCTCAGAGAGACTGCACAATTATTAGGAAATGGAAAGCTGTATTGTTGTTACCTAGGGCCCTGCCACCTCGAGAGCAGAAGAGGTGAAACATTGTACTTGCAAGCTTGCTTAATATGATTGAATATATGAGAAAAAGAGTCACTATTTAAATGGTGAATGTATTCATTAACAATCAAAAATAACACATTTAGGACATTTTTAGAGCTACAGTTTATGTGTTGGTATGAAGAATTAGGCTAACACAGGAAAAATGGTAGATGTATTTTAGAAAAAAGGGTGTAAATGGCAGTACTGGTACCCAGAGCAGCTCTTGCTGACAGAGACCAGCGCTGTCACTCAAAAAATTCCTTGCTAGCAGTGTGGTTGGATAGTGATGGGTAAACTGTCTGACCACATTGATTAAAACAGCAAGTTGGATTTGCACAAGAACAAATGCAACATGCACTTGGTCCCCTGAGGGTTTAAATAAATGTTAAAAAAAAAAACTATATGGGAGTCTTTCTTTACTGTAACAGAGAAGTGATGTCACCTTACTGGCTGTGTAATTAAAAAAAAAAAAAAAAAGATACACTGAACCTGATCCTCGGTCCTGAGGCAGTGACCACTCACCTCTCTCTCCCACCACTCCGGCTACGACATATTCCTTGGAGTCCTCATGTCTAGTGGCCAGGTGGGACCGAGGATCAGGCGAGTATATTGTCTTTCATTTTTGTCCCTAGACCAAAACAAGCAGTTAACCCTTGCAGTGCGGGGGGATCCTCACTGCAGGGGTTAATTTAAAAGAATCCTGGAGTTCCTCTTTAAGGCAGAGTCACTGTACTGGCTAAACAAAATGTTATCTAGTGACTAAATGTACAGCTCCCCCTGTAGTTCTGTGCCCACTCAGATGGAAGCACTGCAGGTCTCAAAGACTCCAAGGCTAGGCCGCACCTCTGCCCCCTATCCTCTAAGCCGTTCATAAAACAGAGCCCGGAGCTCTGTGTTTTATGAATGGCCTGGAAAAGAGGGGTGCGAAGATGCAACCATAACACTGGGATCTATGAAACCTGCAGCGCTCTTATCCGAGCAGGCATGGAAGTACAGCGGGAGCTGTACATTTCCCCGCATGTAACTGAATTGACAGCTGTAGAATAAAGCCAGCAAGACCGTTTCTTCTCGGCCACCAGAATGTACAACAGCTGTAATACAGGTGACTTTAATGTGCCTGGAGTTGGGCATAACTGTTTTTGTACAGTTAGCCTTTACCTGCTCCTTCTTTCCCAGCAACCCCCTGAAGTGCTATACTCACCTGTCCTTGCTGCTGGTGCCAGATCTTCACTATGCAGCCTTCTGAAAACTGTACAGCTGCTGCTCCAAAGCATCCTAGCTGGGATGCACATCTGCAGAAAAACTCCTTTCATTCCTATGAAGAGGCTGTCCATCATTGGGACAGCCTCTCCATAGAAAGAAAAAGAGATTCTTATGCTCATGCACACCAGGAGACTCTGTGGCAAGATCTGGCAGGAAAGAGGATGGGTGAGTAGAAGACTTTAGATGGAGAGCAAAATGTGGAGTTGCCCAACGCTGCAATAATAACTAAAGATAAGTGCCCACTAAAAATATGCTAGGTTGGCCATAAGCACAGCATTGTATTTTTAAAGGCAATTAATCAAATCAATGCAACCTTCCACCAATCCTGCCATATAGCAATGCATATATAGACTGCTAGTGGTAGGTTGTCTTGATCGGTTTGATCATTTAAAATTGCTAGAAAACCACCTTTTGTAAGACTAATGCTGGCCACTGCTCAGATTTTGGCTGATTCCTGGCCCTGGCAGCACACTACCTACAGACAAATTTGCTTGCCTAACAGCACCTGCATCCAATCAGAAGAATGTGCTATTCATAAAAAAAATAATAATAATAATAATAATATATAAATATACATATATCCATACAAACACAAAACACCTATCAGCAGGAATTGGTTTAAGACAAAAGTTTCACTAAGGCTGGCCAATGACGCTTGTCATTTTTTTCTCGCTCATTACTCGATGGGTAAATGTCATTGTCAAGCTGATTGGCTACAGTAACTGTTCGGCTGAGAATTTCTGGACCAGTTTCTTCAACAACAAAAATAAGGGGAAAAGAGGGGCACCACAGGACTAAGGCCAAATTCCAGCAGCCTATTGCCAGCTTAAAACATCTAATGTTTCGGGAACCCCAGACTGTATTTCAGATGTGGTCATAACCAATAACTAACAGAAAAACAAAAGACATGACAGGGGCCAGAAAAGAAAACAGTAGAAGAAAGCCACCAAAGCCAATAACTCACCTTCTTCAGGGAGGATACAAGCAGATTCCTCCACTTGGGGGCATTTTCCTCGCTGAAGAAATCGTACTGGAGCTGGGGTGTCTGCATGACTTGGTCTTTCCTTCTGGGTTTGCTGTGCACAATGGAACCCCGAAGCAAAACAGCACTTGAATGGCTCGGTCCGGCCCAGAGCTGTCACACGTCCACGACTACAGAAGCCTTTGATAGGGCAGATGATCGTCCATAAGTAAAATGGCAAGGGAGAAGGTTGCCCCTTAGCAGGGGCAGCATATGGAGGGACGGAGGACACGCAGAAGCAGCACCCCTGAGGGGAGATGAGATGGGTGGCGGCTCATTGACACCGCTGAGAGGTGACAGCCTGCACATATATGACAGCTGTATGCGCACATCCAGCCAGCAGAGGGGGGTGGGAGGCTCGATCGGTCACCCCAGGATGACACAGGTGAGACAGGAGGCCGCAGCTGCTTACAGTGCCCTCTCGGGCCCACAAACACAGAGCGGCCCTTGCGATCGAGAAGAGAGAAAGCTCATCCGCAGCTCATGTCATATGCATGCGGAGACTTTGGGGTGCAATCGGGCGTCACCTGACAGATGCCAGTCTCCCCTGGCCGTGTGATGGCAGCAGACACCCCGTCTCCCCTCCCTCCCGTATTCTACACGTCTCGCAGGCCGTCTCTCCTCCTCGCCTTCCCAGCTCGTCTTCGGATGCTGTTAAACGTACACAGGAGCAATCACTGCGTCACTTTGTTGCTGTTATTGTTTATTTCCCAGCTTTCTCTCCCGACAGTTATAGGCTCAGCGGCCGTTGAAAGAAGCTCCCACTGCGCCTGCGCTTTCTGAGGCCAGGAGCGCTAACTTGCAATCGTCACGTGATGGGGATGTCTGGACACGCCCCTTCCCCTTTGCCCGGCCGACAAGACAGTTTTTTTTTCCGAACAGCTTTATTATTACCTCAGGATTACAAAACCGAGAGATTGAGACAAGAAGATTAGAGCACTGGAATTCTCACTGTACTCACTGTTCTCTTCAATGCCAAACGCCATTAGATAGGCTTTAAGCGTAATGATGTCACAGGTTGGATAAATTAGTTTCCAGTGTCTGACTACACACTTTTGCCTAGTTCATACTAAAATCAGGAGATAAATCTTAAAAATTCATTCATCACCAAAAATGTAGCTTATTTGTGCATCATTCAGTGGCATCACAAGGGGGGTGCGGACCGCAGCAGGTGACACCATCAGATGGGGTAACAACAAAATGACTGATAGTCATTTTGCTGTCGCCCCCTCTGAAAAGTCGGCACTCGGTGATGGACCAAGAGCCTGACAGCTGCACAAGAGAGCAGGGGACCCGGCGGCATACCTTATCCCGCTGGATGAACGTCCCCTCCAGTCTTTGCCAGCATACATCACCAAGATGGCCACCGGCAGTTAAGTGCGTGTGAATTCATTACGCGGTTGCATGATGATGTCACGCACGTGCATGATGACATCCTAGCGGGTGACAACCTGGGGACGCATCACTGTCCACACTCAACACTGTCCTTCCTTCTGGAGGGTGGATACTTATGGTCCCCATGTGTGTTGTAAAGTAGCCACCGCTCCAAGCTCCAAAGTAGACACCCTCCGGAAGGAAGGACAACGTCAGCATGAATTCAGAGATGATCTGAGGATCTATAGCTGTACTTGAATCAATTTTCCAGGTTTAAGGGCCCATTCACACCATGTTCGGATCAGATCCAGACCGTTACGTTTTTCTCCCGCACCAAAAATGCATACCCAATGTATTTGTATGGGATTTCTGGGCTCTGTTCACACCAGAGCAGTCCATTTGGTGCAGGGGAAAAAAATACTGCATGTCACATTTTGTCTACACTGGAACGCACCAGAACACGCAAAAACATGTAAAAAAAAAAACTTTTAGCTGCAAGGGTGGGTGCACCCATAAACGATGTCTCCTGCGAGCATGTTTTCTCAGGATTGCAATAGCAATTACAAAGAACCTGCCTGCATACAAATAAAACATGTCTGTTCACCAGCTTACGAACACAAACAAAGGGAAGTGCTGTGTAATGAAGAAGGAAGTAACCTCAGAGAATAATCTGCATAATGACAGTCCCCCCCAAAAAGGCACTGGAACACACCAGAACGCATAAAAAATGCAACACAAACACGCGCAGATCTGGTCCGGACTTGGTTTGAATGGGCCCTGACTCCTGACAGCTTCCAGCGCTGCCTTAAATTCGAGGAGATTGGAAATGCAAAGCGGATTTGGATCCCACTCTGACTCAACTTGGAATCCTAGACTGTGGGTAGCCTAGACTAGCATCTAACGTAAGAGTTACCAATTCGTACAGGGATTGCAGAACTGCCTGCAAAATGTCATATAGGTAATGGTGAAGAGTGATGAGCTGAACAGGTGCGAGTTTGGTTCGAATTCGAACTTTAGAACATCCAAAAAGTTTGAACTCGAACTCAGTATTATTATTATTTTTTTTAAATACAGTTTTTAAAGGAGCAGTGATTTTACCATTGCTTAAAGGGTAACAATAAAAATGGAAAAATTCCTTTAAATATCGTGCCTGGGGGGTCCCCTTAACCTGCTTGTAAAGTGGCAAATCTGTACAATGTATAGAACCTGCTGCAGCAAAACTGACATTTCTAAAGAAAAAAATGTTTTAAAGCGTGCAGTTCCCCCACCCAAACAATACCAGACCCTTTAGGTCTGTAGGAATGTTAGAAGGGACCACATTTAAAAAAAAAAAGCTTGGGGTTCCCCCCAAAAGTCATACCAGACCCTTAAGGTCTGGGGGGAATATTTAGGAGGGACCCCGTGTAAAAAAAAAAGAAAAGTGTGTGGGGTTCCCTCTCTAAGTTATACCAGGGCCTTAAGGTCTGGTAGGAATTTTAAGGAGGAACCCCACCCCCAAAAATGAGGGGGGGAATGTGGGGTCCCCCCTAAAATTCCATACCAGACCCTTGATCTGAGCAAAGGCCTGGCAGGGCCGGAAAGGGGGGGAGGTCGATGGACACCATCTAACAGGTTCATGATAGAATTCTATTTTGTAGCCTTTCTAAATAACTTCCAAAATTAAATGTTCTGACACTCTCCACCCAGAACCTATAAAACAGGGCTAACATTCCCCCAGCTGGAAGCGCTTGGGCATGCAGACCATCATAAAGACTTGTTCGTGGCCTTAGAGGACTGAGGAAACTGCTTTTGTCTTTCAGTGTGCAGAAAGGAGTTCTACACCATTGGGCTCTAAGCAATTACTTCCCTGGCTTGTATTTCCTTGGGTTCTACTGCCCACCATATTTCTTAGAGCAAAAGAATTGCTGTTGCTTTTTCTTGCCCCTAGGTATCAACCATGATTTTCTCAGATCTCTTTCTGTATGGCCTTCTCTAGGGTTTTGCCAAACAAGACTTTACTATTGTCCGGAATGGTACAAAAAAACCCTCTAGAAGAGGCATCTGCAGCCCAGTGCTTTAGCCACAAATTATCACTGTGAGTGAATGTGTCATCAGATGGGATGCAACCTGAACTAGACTTATAGCCGATTCTGCTACAAAGTCTGAAGTGAGTCTGAGGATCTTGTGGTCCACTGGACCACCAGGCTGTGTGTGTGGAGTCCTTTGACTTGCAGGCTACGTTATTGTCTGCCATACATGTGACAGAGTCCTTGGTCCTTAAAAAACATCTTCAGCTCCATGTGATTGCCGTTCCCCAGATTAAGCCCTCATGGCAGCACCCGCAGAGAGGGTGTTGCATGTGGGCGCTTTCATTGCAGGGTTTTGTTTGTGTTGGACCACAAGATCCTCCCTCTTCGTGAAGAAGTGATTAGTGTGCAACACGTCGAGACTTACCATTACAGTGCTAAAAAGTTGAGAGGCATTTAGGTTAGAAAATGCTTGTGACTAAGATATCTATATTCATCATTTAATCCTGTTACATGTATATAGTCCATATGGTCATTTAGGAGGCTGATTTATATGTACAAAAAAGTAATAAACATTTTATATGTGATTTTAACAGAAATTAATAAACTAATTTTTTAACTGTATTAGATACCTCTGAGCATACCGCTATAGCCTCATCTATTGTTGAGCTGTCTCTATATTACTTAATTGGAGTGTTGGTATAGCAAGCCCAAGGACATTTCTTGGGATTTTATTAACAGAAGTATCCAAACAGTACAAGTACGGTACAAAGATGCATCAGCATTCCAGGCAGAAAAAGTCCTGTGAAACGGAGTAACATCAATTGCAGAATGTCTCATCTTGGAGAAGTGGGGGAACATGGACTAGCCCTTGCACCCTCTCCGGTGCCCAAATGAAATCCTGTATGGGTTCAGTCATAATGAAAGAGATTTCCTTTGAAATTCAGAAGAAAGAACACAATCTGTCTAGGGAGTCCTTATAGCATGAACCCTTTGCATTTTATCTTATTGGCGGGCAGTGAGTTTGTCAAAAAACATGGTGTAGGTAAGGTTAAAAAAATGTCAAAGGGGAACTGTGGGGGACCTCCAACAATGCACAATCACGTACTTAGCCTGGAGCAGCTTAAATACAATTGGGGAATAGCCACTCGGTTTCCTGTTTAAGAGTATAACTTAGGGGTCTTTCTGAAATGGAGATCCTATCACAGTTCTCATTTTATGGTAGATTTTGGACCAGATTTTAAAATACAACAGGACAATCCCACCAAATATGGGCATATTTCCCCTCCCCTGAAACAAGTAAAAGGGTATAATGGAAGAGCCCTGGCAATCCTGCGTGGAACCTGGTACCATCGCATGAGTAGCTTGTAGTTGATTTCCAAAGCCAGTACTGTGTATATGAGCTCTTAGGCATGTTGGCCTAAATCTGGGTCCAATCATCAGTTCACAGACGACCACCTAGCTCTGATTCCCATTTGGTGGCATAAGTAGACAGGGAGGACTGAGATGCCAGGAGAAGTTGAAAGTAAAGAAAACAGATGATGCCAGGGGCGTTGGGATCCAAGGCGCAGAGATGTTCAAACTGAGGGCCAGTTCACACCATATGCAGTTGTGATGCAGTCTGTTTATGTTGAGTTTGAGTCGAACTGTTGGTTGACTCGTACATCGAGCCCATCACTAGTCACCTCCAAATGCTATCACACAGGGGCATGTTAGACCCTGTGTGATAGCAATACATTTAAGTGGAAAAAAAGTAAAAGATAATAAAAATAATTATTTTTTTAAATGTATTGAAAGTAAAAAACAATAAAATAAATAAAAATTAAATAATATGTACAAAATAAAAATAAATAATTAAAATTAAAATTAAAAAGTGATAAAAAGTTTAAAAAAATAATAAAATCAATAAAAACTATAGAAAAAGTAAAAGATAATAAGATGAATAAAAACAAATTAAAAGTAAAAAAAAAGAAAAAAATAATACATAAAGAAAAAATTAAATGTTTAAATGCTTGAATATGGGCATTTCCCTATTTTGCCTAAGGCAGTGATGCTGAACGTTTTTTAAACCCCAGTGCCCAAGCTAAAACATAGTACCAAACTTATTTTCAGTGTTGGCACTTGGAGATACATAAATTGATTTTGCACTGTAGTTTGGGCACTCGGGCTCAATAACGTTAGCCATCACTGCCTTAGACTCTGCTTTCACACCACACTTG